CTGCCGCGACCCCGGCCCCCGCCGCGACCGCCGCGCTGGCTCCGGTTCAGCTTGATGATGTCGTCCAGAGACATGTCCATTTTGTCGGCCATGGCGGGCGCGGAATCGGCCTCGGCTCGAGCCCGCGCGTCAGCACGCCGGCCCGTCACTTCCGCCGCCGCGCGGGCCCTTCCGGCGCGCGTCCCGGGAGCTGCTGCGGATTGGCTGCGGGGGCCCGGCCGGAAGCCGCGAGCAGGACGGCGCGTGCGCAGCAGAGCTCCCGGCGCTGCGGTTGCCGCTCCAAAGGTGCCGAGCAGCCGCCTCGGTCGTTTTTATACCTTCCCGCGCGGGCGCCAACGGCCGGTGGGCGGGGCCGCGGGGGATTAAGTCGCAAAAGGTGTGCGGGTTGGTCGGCGGGCGTAGGGGGCGGAGTCGGGCGGGGCGTTCCGGCAGGGCGGGGTCTGCGCCGCCACTCCCTGGCCGGCGCGGAAGTCTCGGGCGGCGCGGGGAGCCTTTAAAGGGGTTCGGGGTCCGGGGGCTGGCGGTGGCGCGTTGTCCGGCCCGCCGTTGCTGACGCCGGCACCTGGCCAAGTGTGGTTCTGCCCCCGGTACTGACTTCACCTCGGGCCGGACCCGGAGAACGCTCCCATTTATTTTTGTTTGTTTGTTTTGCCGAGGGGGTGAGTTTGTTTCTGGAGATGCACCTGGAACCGAGCGAGCGGGCTGGGGGGTGTCTCCGTCTGCCGGGCCCAAGGTCGTGAGTGCCTTTTGCTATTCGCCAGTCACGTCCATTTAAAACTACTGTTTGGCGCAGCTTGACGATGTGCTAAGAGACCTATTGCTCCCTTCCCTGCCTGCAGAGGTAGAAACCGAGGTCCTTGAAGAGAACCTTAAATGTAGCTGAAAACGGGAAACCTCCACAGTGGCCACCTCCCGCCCCATAAAGGCGCCTGGGAGCAGCGGCCCCTTCCCTGGAGACTTGTTAGCATGGTTCTCTCCTGGTTCTTCAAGAGTTTTCTAGTAGCGATTCCCTGACAACAAGGGCCGCGTGGGGCAGACATCCTGTGTGCCCAGCCTTCCTCCCTGCAGTGCTGGCCCTCTGGATGCCCGGTGTTCTGCCTCAGCCTTGTAAATTTAGCAAAATAATCCTCTCCCCCTCAGCCTGCCGCAGCTGCCTGGCCATGAAGGTGAAGATCAAGTGCTGGAATGGTGTGGCCACTTGGCTCTGGGTGGCCAACGATGAGAACTGCGGTATCTGCCGGATGGCCTTCAATGGCTGCTGCCCTGACTGTGAGTGCCCCACTACCCTGGGCCAGCTATGCCCCGGGGCGCTGGGCTCCCCCAGGAAACCCTGCATGCAATCTCTGGCCAAGAGGAAGAGTTGACATCCAAAGTAGCCAGGCAGTTTGGGCCCATGTGTGTATTAACAATCCAGCCCACAGTTTAAGAAAAATGTCGGCATCTTTATGTTGTCATCGAACTCAACTGTGAAACAGACTGAAAGCTGATTTGTTAAAACATTTTTATTTGAGCATGTACAAAGACAGTTCTGTCAGAACACAGGTTTACACATTTACACAGTTTGCAGTTAATAACATTTTACCACTTTTGTTTCACGTCTTGAAACCTAAGGCCAACTTCTTTTCCAGAGCACCGCATCTGGCAAAGTTACAGTCATTCCTCAGTGTCACCCCATTCTTTGTCCATGCTTATATTGGTCCAGTTTGCTCCCAGGTGGCCTTTAACCACTGGTTGGTTCAGTCCTCATTCTATTTGGATACGTGTCTACTCTTTAAGTCTTGATCTAAAGCAAGATCTTCCGCCCTTTGGGAGCAAGTGAGAGCCCAACACCATGCTAGGATTTGACTTCTTATAGTGAAATTCAATTTTAAGGTAGGTAGGTAATGTTTTAAGATAAAATCTTGCTGCACATCATCCAACGACAACGGTTGCATCAGTACATTGTCAGAGCTCCCAGAAATTCAGGTTGGATTCAGAAGAGGAGGTGGAACAATGAGTGTAATTGGTGATAGCAGGTGAATCTTGGCTGAAAGCAAATACCAGAACGATGTATCCTTGTGTTTCATTGACGATGCAAAAACATTTGGTTGATGGTGTAGGCCATACAAAATATGGATAACCTTGAGAAAAATGGAGATTCCATTCTGTTCTGTTGTACTTAGGGTTTTGACACAGAAAGGACTGGAAGGCACCTAAAGAGAAGCCTAGCTAGAGGAGATCTCAGCATGTGGGAATCAGCAAATCCGTATCAGGCTGAGGAGATTGGCTCTCCTTAATCCTGCCGTGTTGTTGATCCTTGATGCAGCCAGAGCCAGCTATTGATTCCATCACATTCCAGCAGTTGAGGGGATCAGGCCCAGAAGCTGATGGAATTGGTCCAGCTGTTGATGGTGTTAGGCCCAGCTGTTGTATAGTCAAGCTGTTTGTGTAGTTGTGCTGACTCATGTCAATTCTGACTCATAGCAAGCTGATGTAACACAGTATACCTGCCTCCTGAGGTTTCCTAGGAAGTAACCTTTTTTTTTCCCACACAAACACACAATTCTGCAGTTTCTGCACATACATACCACTTAGCAACAGTGGTTTTATTTTACCTTCAAGTTGTGCATCTATCCTGAGTTCTTCCTCCTCCAGTTCACTGCCCTCTAAGGCCCCTCGCTAATTTTTCAAGGTTCTGTTGCTAATTTGATCCCATATAGATAGGGCTCAGAGAATTCCCCCCGCCCTCTCCTCCCCCTGCGCTGGAGACATGACCGTCCAGGATTCAGCGGTATTTGAGGATGTGGCCATAGACTGTACCCAGGAAGAGTGGGCTTCACGGAATTTTGCTCAGAGGGAACTTTACAGAGATGTGATGGTGGAAACCATCAGGAACCTCGACTCAGAAAATGCGCAGTAGAGAACCTCTGTGCAAGTAAAAAAGAATTAAAATATAAAGATGACCAATGTGAAGGGAAAAAAAGAACATAGGCTCAAGGCAGACCTTTTTTATTAGTTAAGCTAAACTATTGTGAGGTTTTTTGGGGGAATAATGAGACGCCCCACTCCCCAGAAGAGTTAATAGCCTCAAACCTAGAGGGGCGGTTCTTGTTCTTCCCTGTCCAGGGTCAGTGTGATTTGGAATCAACTCCTTAGCGGTGAGTGCATTTGATGATTAGGTTGTAAGATGACCCCAGAGGAGAATTTGGGTTTAAAGATCCTCCCGGGGCAATCGTTTCATTTATTTACTTATCGTCAACAGTTTTATTGACATATAACTCACATCCATACAGTGCAGTAGTTGAGTCACATCAAGAAGAGTTGTACAGTCATCACCACCATCCGTTGCAGAGCTTTCTTCGTCCTTGGGCTCATGCTAGTAGCTTCCTGTTTCCCCTCAGCCTCCCTTGCCATACCCCGAGAGAGCCACTCTCACCGTTACTGTCTCTGTAGACTCACCTGTCCTGGATTTCAAGTATATAAAAACATTAAGCAAACGAATAAGAGTAACTAAAGCCAATAAAAACCTCCATTGAAAAGAGCAGAAAATATTAAAAACTAGGACA